CTTCATTCAGTTTGATGTTGTCTGTTGGCTTGCTGTATATTGCTCTTATTATGTTTATGTATGTTCCTGTTATCCCTGATCTCTCCAAGTCCTTTATCATGAAATTGTGTTGAATTTTGTAGAAGGCTTTTTCAGCATCTAGGGAGGTGATCATATGTTTTTTGTTTTTTCAGTTTGTTTTTTCATATGGTGGATCACGGAGATAGATGTTCATATGGTAAAACTTCCCTGCAATCCAGGTATGAAGCCTACTTGGTCTTGGTGGATGATATCTCTGATGTATTTTTAGATTCAGTTTGAGTATTTTTGCATCAATGTACATAAGGGATATTGGTCTGTAGTTTTCTTTCTTAGTTGTGTCTTTGTGAGGCTTGAGTACCAAGGTTATTGTGGCCTCATAAAAAGAGTTTGGCAATGAACCTTCTGATTCTATTTTGTGGAACAGTTTGAGGCTTAGTAGTATTATTTCTTCATTGAATGTCTGGTAGAATTCTGCACTGAATCCACCTGGCCCTGGTCTTTTTTTAGTTGGAAGGCTTTTGATGAGTGCTTCTATTTCATTGTGGGTAATAGGTCTATTTAAGTTGTTTGTCTGTTCTTGATTTAAGTTGGTAAGTTGTAGTTATCCAGAAATTTGTCCATTTCCTTTCAATTTTCAATTTTTGTGGAATACAGGTTTTCAAAATATGACCTGGAAATTGTCTGGATTTCCTCTATGTCCGTTGATATGTGATGGGAGATGCCATTATGTATATATGTTTCTCATATTGGTTAATGAATAAAGTACTGTTGGCCAATAAGAAAGCAAGATAGATGGGACTAGGAGATAAGGAGGAAAGAGGAAGTAGGAAGGAGGAGTCAAGATGGAGAGTCTGTAGAAAACAGAATGCTGGCCAGCTCCCAGGTAGGAAAAGACCACGTGAAAATACATATATCAGCAGAAATGGGTTAATACTTAAGATAGAGCTAGCCGATAAGAAACTAGTACCAGGCCAATAGCATTATATCAAATACAGAGTCACTGTGCATTATTTGGGGCTGGAGTGGCAGCAGGGTAAGACCTGGAGGGAGGAAAAACCATAGTCCTTACATATGGTGTGGCTAATAAGAACTTCCACTTAAAATTTAACAAAAGCTTTTAAAAGGGTTTTAGAAACAAAAGAACAGAGACAAGAAAGGTTTCTTGGTAAAAGCATTTTTCTGGGTTACACTCTGTTTTGTGTGAGACAAGCAAAAATTTCCGTAGCTCTTTTAAGGGAAGATTCCTGACTCAGCATAATTGGCAAAAAACAAAACCAAAAATAAAAAAAAATAAAAAAAATAAAGGGCTTTAAAAAAAAAAAAAACACTGCTAGCAATTTATTGGTGTGTATGAGAGCTGGCAATGGCAATGACCACATCTCCAAGCAGACAACATGCAGGCTGGATGGGAGCATAAAGCAAGACAGTAACCACAGCTCTCAATGCTGGTGGTAAACTAGCCACCACCATCTTTAATAAACCGGGGCAGAAACAACTATGACTTTCATTTTAACAATACTGTTGTTTAACAGATAAAGTCTCATGGACAGACAAAGATAAAGATGTACAGTAAAGACAGATACACATTAAGAAAAAGCACTAAATGTTTACAGTGCATTCTAAAATATATGTAGGCTTGGGAGAGAAAAGGAAGAAATTTGTTTTAAAAATACAGTGAGGAGATGGATGTAATGGCAAAGGCCTTTAATCCCAGCACTCGGGAGACAGAGGCAAGCAGATCTCTTTTGATTTAAAAGTTAACCTTGTATGTAGAGTAAATTCCAGGACAGATAAGAGTTACACAGACAAATCCTGTCTCAAAAAATAAAAGTAAAGAAACACAGTAATAATAAAAGCTAAAAATGGTAAAAAATCTGGACACTGTACTGTATTATATTGTCTTTGTATTGTTTGACCTCTGAGGAAACAACAACTATTAAAGGAGATGCTGCTGGATTAATTCACTTTATATACTTTAAAAATACTTCGACTCCAAAATTTAAGTCTAAGGAGAAGTTACTGGAGAAAAAGATTTCTATTTTTGTTTCCACAGAAAATATAAAACTATGGATACCATCCAGTCTAATGTGGTTTGAGCAAGCCAGACCCCCTGAAACAGAGAACCAAGTGGCCTTACATTCAAGACAGCTGGACAAGGCAGCCTTGTAGACTACAACATTTTTCTGCATCTTCTTAGGATCCCCAATGACAGCGCTCTCTATCAGCAGGAAGTAGTTTGGAAAGAACTTTATCCCACTCCTTCAAGGTTACTTTCCACCAGACAACTGCTTTTTGCATTTGAATGAAAGGAACCTGACTTGTGCAGAACTGGGCAGCTCATCTGGACCCGACTGTCCCAAGGGTTTAAAATTCCCCAACAATGGCCAGGCATGTAAGAGAATTTCTGTGGACATCTGGGTTTTGCAGGCTGACTAAGGAAAAAATTCTCCTGGATGGCAGAGCACCAGGAGGCATTTGATGCCATTAAAAAAGCCCAGCTAAAAGCACCTGCTCTAAGCCTTTTGATGTAACTAACCTTTTACCCTTTATGTGGACAAGCCTAAGGGGGTCACCTGGGGAGTTTTGACTGAAAGACCCCAAGAGTTTGGAGCCTGTCAGGGGGAAGTCCCTTGCCCCCGAGAGACGAGACTGGACCACTGGATGCAAGTGCAAGAGGTTATTTATTGTTTACACACAGGTACCTATGGATGCACTAGTCTTTCGAGAGACAGAGAGAGCATGCCTGGTAAAGCATATGCAGTTTATATAAGGTTGGTGTAGCAAGAAGCAGGCTTACAGAAGCAGAAGCATGGTTACAGGGACTTCATTGTTTCATCTAAATATAGCAGTTGTAGTTAACCAAGGACAGTTGGTTATTCAGGTTGGGCACAAAGAATACAAAGAATTCAGTTATGACTATCTCAGCATAATGGACACTGTCCTGCTGACCTTGCTTTAGTTCAAGCTGCAGACCACAGATATCTGGTTGGCGTTGGATGAGAGCAGCACCTGGTTCCCTCCTGTACTTTTCTCATAGCTTGACCTTGGCAAATTAGCAAGAACAATTTAAACAGGAAATAAGCATAGTGGGTGCTCTTTCATTCCCCCCTTTTTCTGTTAAATGAATAAAACTTTTTATTCACTGCTGTTCAGTTTCTAATTGTTTTAGTCTCTGATATTGTTGGGTCAAAACTAAGGCTTGAATTACTGACAAGCGTTCCTTCATGAACTGTATTAGTCTGTTCAGAATGCAGGGACCAAAGGTGAGAATCAAAAGGAATATAATTAGCGGTCCTGTGATGGTGGATATCAGGGTTGTAAACCAAGGGGAGTGATTAAAAAGTTTTTCAAACCATCCTTGTTGGGCCTCAAATTCTTTTTGTCTCTTTTCCAACTGATCCCATAGTTTGTCTAGGGTCTCAGTCACAACTCCTGTTTTGTCCACATAAAAACAACATTCCTCTTTGAGGGCAGCACATATGCCCCCTTCCTTTAAAAATAGGAGGTCAAGTCCTATCCGGTTTTGGAAAACTACCTCAGATAAGGAGACTAGGGAGCCTTTAAGATCTCTAATGGATCTTTCTATTGCCTTTAGGTCTGCAGTCATAGCAGTATGAAGAGACTCATATTGGCTGACTCCACTCAAGGCTGCTGCTCCTGTGCCTATTCCTGCTGATATTCCAGCCCCTAGAAGAAGGGCCAGGGTTATATTGACAGGCTCTCTCCTGTACCTATGTTTGTTTTCAAAACATTCATAAACAGTTTCAGAAATATGATAGAATATACAAGGGTATAATTCGACCAGAACACAATAATCAGAAGCCTTATTCAGGATTTGTGCTGAAATGTAAAGAGTCAATCCAGTGCTACATGCCCAGTAGGTTCCATTGGGAGCTGAAAGAAAATAATTGCCAGGGGTAATTGGCAGTGTCTGATTACATCGCTTCTGGTGGGTCTTGGGTATTGTGCCTAGGCAGAGCCTGTGCCCTATGACTTCAGGGAGAGTCAAACTAAGACCTGGTGAGTCTAAGCATTGCTGAGGGGGACTGGTATGGTTTAAAAATTTTTCATTAATAGCTATTCCTTCATAATAGGGGGAGTTTGGAAGGAGACAGAGCCAACAGTCTTTGGCCTGGTCAGGGCGTGCGTTGAGGGCCGTGTAAGCCCCTTTAATTAATTTTAATAGTCTATCCCCGGTACCTGGGATTGGGAATAAGTGGGTGTTGTTAGGGGGAGTTGGCTGTGGCCTGAAGGGAAGTTTTTGGTCTGTAAGCACAGAGTTTGGCCCTATGGCTTGTGGGTCAGGATCTCTAATTTCCAGGCGAATTTTAAAGACAACTCCTTTGTCCAGGCCTGGCATATACCACCTTAGCTTCCCCTGTATCCAAACTGCATAGCCCTTTTTTCCATGGATGGTGAAGTCAATTCTCAAAGGGAGACAACGGGCTGACTCACAGACCCAACCCCCCGCATTGATGGGAGGGTGGCAGCTTTTCCTGCCCAAGGGGGGGGGCGAGTGTAATTTTGGCGCACTGTTATTAGATCCCAGGATGAGCTGGGATTCCAATAGGCACTCCCGGTGGTCTCACATCCCCAATTTTTACAAAAGTATTCCTGATGTCCCCCACATCCTGACCCCCTGGATTGACTCAGCTGAGGACAGACATAGAAGTCTGATTGGGCTATCAAACATTGGGTCTGGGGGTTGCTACAGCCTATCCATCTGTTTTCAGTTCTAGGCATGTCCTTTTTAAGGGAGTCTGCACCATAAGTGGGGATGTCCCAAGTGTCCAGTCCAGAAGCTAGTTGGCAAAAGTCAGGGGTGAGACTAGGCCACCAGGTGCCAGGTAGATTAAGGCCAGAGGTTGACCAGATGATCTCACCAGTTTGGGAAATCACTTGCCAGGTCAAGAGCAGGGGGGGGGCATGGGAAGATCCCACTTCAGAAGCATTTAAACCTATGTACAAAAGCATGCTTGCTAATGTTGGGAACGTAAAAGTCTTATCTTTAAGGGGTTTTGAGAGCGCTGAACTTTCCATGTTGTTTCAGATGGGGCCTGGTCCTGGGTCCGATGTTCTGGTTGTGTGGCCTTCATGTGGGATGCGTGGATCCAAGCAGCAATCCTGTCCACTTTCAGGGCGGTTGGAGTTGTCAGGAGCACAGTGTAGGGGCCCTTCTAGCAGGGCTCTAAGTTTTTAGTCTGATGCCTCCGAACCCAGACAGAATCGCCAATGTGGAAAGAGTGGGGCTGACAAGAGGTTCTTTGTTCCTCCTGGTATGCTGCCGCCAGAGGTTTCCAGACCTCTTCTTGGACTATATGTAAGGCTTGTAGATGTGCCTGCATGGAGGGGGTGTTTGCAAAATCAGAAATGTCAGCATCAAAGAATGATACAGCTGGCAGTGGACTGCCATATAGGATTTCAAAGAGAGTTAGGCCATGAGGGCCTGGAGTGTTTCTGGCCCGATAGAAGGCCAGAGGTAGGAGTTGTACCCAGTCCTTAGAGCCAGTTTCAAGCATTAATTTGGATAAAGCCTCCTTATCCAAATGGTTCTATTCATTCTTTCTACCTGTCCTGAACTCTGGGGTCTGTAAGCACAATGTAATTTCCAATTTATCCCCAGCAACCTGGCCACCAGCTGACTTAACTGGAAGATGAAGTCAGGCCCATTGTCTGATCCTATTACCTGTGGCATCCCATATCTGGGAAAGATTTCTTCCAATAGTTTCTTGGTGACCATTTTTGCAGTCTCATGTTTGGTAGGAAATGCTTCCACCCATCCTGAAAAGGTGTCTATAAAAACCAGTAAATATTTATAACCATACATTCCAGGTTTGACTTCAGTAAAGTCTATTTCCCAATGGACACCAGGCCTATGGCCACGAAGCCAGGTCCCAGGATCCAGTCTGGTTTTTCCTTGGTTGATCTGGGCACAGGCCAGACAGTTAGCAGTTACTTGTTCCAGTAATAAATTCCGATTGGGAAGGTAAGTTCCAATTTCTTGTGTATCTAGCAAAGTTTTCATCTTTTTGGCGCTCAGATGAGTCAGTTTATGGAGGTGGTCTATTAACATTTTTGCCGTTTTTATAGGCAGTATAGTCTTTCCTTGGTAGAACCAGCATTGCCAATTGGGGTCATAATCTGCACCCAGTTTCCGAACAATGTCCAAATCTGTTTCATCATAGTCCCAATCTGGAGCCTTAGCTGTTTTCTTTTCAGTCAATATGCTTATAGTCAATAGTTGGGGGCCTAAGGCTACTTGTTTGGCTGCTTCATCAGCCAGGCGACTTCCTTTTGCCTCCAGGCTTTCCCCCTTTTGATGTCCAGGGCAATATATTATGCTCAATTTCTTAGGAAGGAACAGGGCCTTTAATAATGTCAAGATTTCATTTTTATTTTTGATTTCTTTGCCTTCTGATGTTAAAAGGCCCCTTCTCCGATAAATTTCTCCATGGACATGGGCAGTGGCAAAGGCATACCGGCTATCAGTGTACACATTAAGCTTCTTACCTGCTGCCATCTGGAGATCCTGAGTCAGAGCAATGAGTTCATCTCGCTGAGCAGAGGTGCCTCTGGGGAGTGCAGTGGCCCATATGACCTCTGAGGCATTCATCACTGCAGCCCCTGCCTGTCTCTCACCATTTAGCAAGTAGTTGCTGCCATCTGTGTACCGGGTGTAGTCTGCATCTTTCAAGGGCTGATTGGTCAGATCAGGCCCTGTTCCATGCATCTCTGCAAGGATCTGATGACAGTCATGGGACGCTGGTCCCTCTGGCAGCGGTAACAAGGTGGCTGGGTTCAGGGTTACTATTGGCCCAAACTGAACCCTGTATACATCCAGAAGCAGGGAATGATAGTGAGTTACAAGGGCGTTAGATAGCCATCTATCTGGTGGCTGACGGATGAGGGACTCAACTGCGTGTGGTGCCAGTATGGTCATTGGCTGTCTCAGAGTCAATTTGGTGGCATCCTTGATTAGGACTGCAATCGCTGCCACCATCCAGAGACATGGAGGCCATCTTGATGCAACTGGGTCTAATTTCTTAGACAAGTAGGCAATGGGCCGTCTCCAGGGTCCTAACTTTTGGGTTAAGACTCCTTTTGCATAGTCCTGTTTTTCATCATCAAAGAGTTCAAAAGGCTTGGTGACATCTGGCAAGCCCAGGGCTGGTGAGGACAGCAGGGCCTGATTGATAGCATCAAAAGCCTGCTGTTGTTCCTCAGTCCATTTAAAAGGTGTGTCTTGCTTGGTTAGCGGGTAAAGGGGGGCCGCTATTTCTGCGAACCCCAGAATTCAGAGTCTACAGAAGCCTACAGTCCCCAAAAATTCCCTAAGTTGACGTTGGTTTTGGGGGATGGGTATATGAGATATAGTTTCTTTGAGGGCAGGTGTCAACCATCTTTGCCCATCCATTAGCTTGTATCCCAAATAGGTGACTTCCTGTCTACATATTTGAACCTTTTTGGCAGAGGCTCGATACCCCAGGTTCCCCAATGTTCGTAATAGGGCCCCAGTATCTGTTGTGCAGTACTGTTCAGTGGTGGCTGCAAGGAGGAGGTCATCCACGTATTGCAGCAGGATCAGAGATGGATGCTTGATCCGGAAATCTGCCAGGTCTTGGAGAAGGGCATCGTAAAAGAGAGTGGGGCTATTCTTGAACCCCTGGGGTAGGCGTGTCCAAGTCAATTGCCCTGAAATGCCCAGTTCTGGATCCTTCCATTCAAAAGCAATAAAGGCTGGCTCTGGGGGCTCAGCCTCAGGCAGAAGAAAGCATCTTTCAGGTCCAGGACAGTGTACCAGGGATGAGTAGGAGGCAGGGTGCTTAGTAGGTTATAGGGATTTGGCACCATGGGGTGAATGTCTTCCACTCACTTATTGACTTCCCTAAGATCTTGGACTGGCCTGTAATCCCCGGTTCCTGACTTCTTTATAGGCAGAAGTGGAGTATTCCATGGGGATCAGCAGGGGATCAAGATCCCTTGGTCTAATAGTCTCTTAATGTGAGGCTTGTTTTCTTGATATGCCTCATTTGACATAGGATACTGTTTAATTGAGACAGGGGTGGCTGTTGCCTTCAGGAGAATTATTAGGGGTGACTGTTGTATGGCCAGCGCCATGCCCCCTGTTTCTGCCCAGGACAGGGGGTGTTGTTTTAACCATAAGTCCATTCCTTCCTGTTGTTCAGGAGTCTTTTCAAAAAGTCTATATTCATTTTCCAATTGTAAAGTCAATATTTGAAGTGGAGCCCCTTGTGGGCCAGAGACTTTAGCTACTGATCCTTCAAAATGGATCTGGGCTTTTAATTTAGTCAGTAGATCTCGACCCAGTAATGGATACGGACAGTCCGGTACATGCAAAAAAGGAATGTGAGACTTTACCTGATGTGAGATGAACTTTTCTCTCCATGGTCCATCGGTATTGTTTTCCGCCGGTGGCTCCTTGTACCCAAGCTGTTTTGGTACTCAATGGCCCGTTCGTTTCAGTGAGAACTGAATGTTGGGCTCCAGTGTCCACCAGGAAGGTGACTGGCTGCCCCCCAACTCTTAAGGTTAGCCTGGGGGAGGGGGGGAGGGGGCTCCTGGCCCCGAGTGCCCTAGTCTTCATCTAGGGCTAGAAGCTGAGTTGGTCTTGGGGGTCTGTCTCCACGCCTCTGAGTTTTAGGTCTCTTAGGGCAATCTTTGACCCAATGGCCTTTTTCTTTGCAGTAGGCACACTGGTCTGGATCTACCCTGGGCCTCCTTCCTTCTCCCTTTCTTTCCTGACTTCCTGCACTATGATTATTCTGAGCTACAGTGGCCAGGATTTTGCTTAATTATTTCCGGTTTCTACGATCCCTCTCTTTTTCTATTTCTTCTAGCTCCTTTTATAACTTGTCCTCTCTTTCCTCCTGCAACTTTCTAAGTCTTTCTTCTTTTTCCTCAGGTGTTTCTCTCTTATTAAATATCTTTTCTGCTTCCTTTACGAGATCCTGCAGGCTATAATCTTGTAAATTATCTAGTCTCTGCAACTTAGTCCTAATATCTAGAGCAGACTGCCAAATGAAACCATAGAAACATTGCCCCTTTGCTCGTTACTATCAGGATCAAAGGGTGAATACATACAGTAGGCTTCTTTTAGCCTCTCCAAAAATGCAGTCAGAGTTTCCTCTGGTCCCTGGGTTATCTGTCTTACCTGAGCCAAATTTGTGGGACAGCGTCCCAGGCCAGCGGAGACCCGCTGTGAGTAACTGGCGATAAAGGAGCAGGTGTCCCCTACCTACAGCAGTATTGAAGTCCCAATCAGGACGATTTAGGGGAAAAGCTTCCTCAATTTCATTAGGCAACTGAGTGGGTCTCCCATCATCTCCTAAGATGTTCTTTTGAGCCTCCAGGAAGACACGTTGTTTTTCTTCTGAGGTTAGAAGGACCTGCAAAAGCTGTTGGCAGTCATACCAAGTGGGTTGATGGGTTATTAGGATGATTCAATTAGATTAGAGAGAGCTACAGGGTCTTTGGAGAAGGAGGGGTTGTTAGATTTCCAATTATAGAGGTTGGACACTGAGAAAGGCCAGTATTGAAATTGGCCTCTTGGTCCGGCAGTCTGGCTCAGGAGGTTCCTTCTGTGGCTGTCTCCCTTCGACCACAGAGTCTGCCAGCTACCGGGGAGTCTGCAGTAGTCTCTTCTTGTCCGTTTTCCAGGGCAGGAGTGGTACTGGTACTGTCTGGTTTGTCCGGACCCCTTTGCTGGGCATCACCGCCACCTACAGTGCCCTGGGTAGGGTGCTGATAAGGGGGAGGGGGGGTTCTGTCTTCTGAAAGTAAATCTATAAGATCAGACTCATCAGCAGGAAGAGTAGATTTGGAGTGAGGGGTTTTCTCTTTCTTGAGGACAGGATATAATTGAGATTTGGCAGGTGCCTGAGAGGGAATGAGTGGTACATGAGAAGAAGGCAAAGGAGGAGCAGTGGGTCCCTGTGAAAGTGGGGCCACATCAGTCTTGGGGAGAGATTTAGAAGGAGGTTTGGGGGTGACAAAGGGAGCCACCCAAGAGGGGGGGTCAGAGGCCAGATTTTACCAGGTGACAATATAGGCCACCTGGTCAGGACGTCCGTGGAGCCCGGCATCGAATCGTTCCTTCACCTGCAAGATAATACCAAGGTCGAAAGTGCAATCACAGGGCCAGCCAATATTAAATGTCGGCCACTCAGAAGCACACAGGTTTTGCCATCTCTTTTTCTTTACGTCCATTGACTGGTTGTGCGCTCGGCCCTGGACTTCGCTCCAGTGACCTAGGGTCAGACTCAAAGGGGTAGTTACAGATTGTCCCATGTCTTTTTCAAAATAAAGAAGCAAGTAAATAGACAAGGCAAACAGAACACACAGACAGCCGGCACAGAGACGCACTGCGCGACTTTGGCGTAAAACCGAAACCAGATACTGAGTTGGAGGCACAGAGGGTCTTAAGCCCTCTGGCCCTTCCAAAACCACGAATCCCTGAGACTCATTGTGGGCCCCGAAAAATCGGGTGCCCCAGATCCCTGAGACATCTCCCAGGGTGGCGGGTAGAAGTCCGAGCTCGTCAGCTCCTTCGCAAGCCACCTACAGACACAACTAGCCTAGCTGATTACCGATCTCTGTGCAACAAGCAACAAGTAAAAGACATATGAACAAGACAACAAAGAACAGAAATTAAGCACTGGCCAGCTTACCTCCCGGTGGGTGTCAGTGTCAGTCTCCAGGGGGAAGGGTCTCCAATCTCGATGGAACTCCAATGAAAGACCCCAAGAGTTTGGAGCATGTCAGGGGGAAGGCCCTTGCCCCCAAGAGAAGACTGGACCACTGGATGCAAGTGCAAGAGGTTATTTATTGTATACACACAGGTACCTATGGACGCCCTAGTCTTTTGAGAGACTGAGAGAGTGTGCCTGGTTAAAGCATATGCAGTTTATATAAAGTTGGTGTAGCAAGAAGCAGGCTTACAGAAGCAGAAGCATGGTTACAGAGACTTCATTGTTTCATCTAAATGTAGCAGTTGTAGTTAACCAAGGACAGTTGGTTATTCGGGTTGGGCACAAAGAATACAAAGAATTCAGTTATGACTATCTCAGCATAATGGACACTGTCCTGCTGACCTTCCTTTAGTCCAAGCTGCAGACCACAGATATCTGGTTGGCTTTGGATGAGAGCAGCACCTGGTTCCCTCCTGTACTTTTCTCATAGCTTGACCTTGGCAAATTGGCAAGAGCAATTTAAACAGGCAATAAGCATAGTGGGGGGTCTTTCATGACCAAATCCCTAGGGCCATGGAACAGACCAGTTGTTTATCTGTAAAAGAAGCTTGATCCTGTAGCCAGGGGAGGGCCTGGCTGTCTAAAGCTATTGCTGCTGACAAGTTGACTTTGGGGCATAAAGCAACTGTAATAGCCTCCATGCACTGGAGAGCATTGTCCAGCAGCCACTGACTGATGATGACCAATGCCCATGTGACTCACCACCAAAGCCTGCTTCTCACTGAGAGACTGAGCTGATTGTGCTCACTCCACCAGCCAGCCTTATCCTGCCACTCTTCTGCCTGAGGAGATTAGTGAACTGGGGACACCTGACTGCCATCAACTGTTGGTTAAAGAGAGTTTGCAAAGATCTTAAGGACATCCTGATGGCTGGGGAGATGTTGACCAGTTCACTGCTGGGAGCAGTTACATTGTAAAAGGTAAAGAAAGGGCTGGGGCAGTGGTACTGCTAGACAAAGAGAAGTCCATAAACATTAACAAGCAGCAGGTATGCTTTTTTAACTGTTCATGTGCATGGGACTGTCTCAACCATGTGGCTAAAAAGTTACTGAAGAAAATTTTCCGAAGATTAAAAATACCTAAGGTAGTAAAATCAGACAATGGTCCACTTTTTTGGTTGCCCAGGTAAGTCAGTCACTGGCCAAGATATTAGAGATTGATTAAAATTACATTGTGCATACAGACCCCAAAGATCAGGTAGAAAGCATAAATAAAACCATTGAGGAGACCTTCACTAAATTGACCGCGGAGACTGGCATTAATTATTGGATAGCTTTCCTAACCTTTATGCTTTTCAGGGTTAGAAACACCCCTGGACCATTTGGGCTGAATGTCTCTATGTGGGGGGGGGGGGGCCTCCACTGGTGGAAATTACTTCTGTACATAGTGCTGATGTGCTGTTTTTTTAAGCCTCTGTTTGCTAGGCTTAAGGTGCTCGAGTGGGTGAGACAGCAAGCCTGGAAGCAACTCTGAGAGACCTACATCACTTCCAAGTTGGAGATCCAGATTACATTAGATGTCACCACACAGAAACCTTGAGACTCAGTGAAAAGGCTCACTTTGTGGCTGGTCCAGAATATGTCCTCCTCCTCTGGACCCACCCACACTTTACTCCAGGTTATAGAACCCAGGGACAACCTCTTACAACTGCCCATTTTTATTTTTTTCTTGTTGCTTACAGTTGGAAAAGTTGTTACTTTTGTTATGAGTACTGTTCATATTATGGTGCTTTGATAGCAGTACAGAAGCTTCTGGAGCCCAGAGGAGCCTGCTTGTTAATTTCTATAGTTATAAGATTAGAACTATTGACAAAAGAAAAAGGGTAGAATGAAATACAAAAAGGTAATGTTAATCATGGACTAACCTGGAAACCAATATCTGTTCCTTGGATTTTGCTAACTTCCTCTCACCAGGCTCTGAAATAACAAGAAGTCACACTGCCCCTCCTTTCCTGAGAGTCAGCAGGTGGTGAATAGGGTCTGTAGGAAACAAGGAGATAGCTGCAACTCAGGTTTGGCTAGAGAAAATTAATTAGCACACCCTGAGGCCCTAAGGTCTATTGATCCTAATAGCAGACCATCCTGCCTCCAAGGGTCAAGTACTCAATGGGCAGAGGGTCCCACCCCTGCCCTAAGCTTGTGGGTTTGCCTTTAATAACACATGGGCCTGGGGGAGGGGACTTCTCTCTAGCCTGCTTGCTGGAGGAGCCCCTTTGTGCAAACATTTCCTGTTCATTAAAGCCTCTTGAGTTTTGCAGCAACTGGACTGGACATTGAGTTCTTGGGGTATCGACCGAACCTGGAAGACTCCTCATTCTGAGGGTCTTACAGAACGACACCCAAATTCCCAAATAGTGTTTATAAATGTTTGTTTTCATTTAAGTGGATTTGGTTATAAATGGTTAATTATCACAGCCAATTCTTTTTAAAGGTAAAAAGGGGATTATGGTATAGATATGAAAGTTGTTTTGGAATGGATTTGCATTTATTGATACAATTTAAGGTCAATTTTGTGATATGTATATTTCTCCTCTTGTTTAGGTATTGTTTTTATATAGCTCAGTTAGGAATGTAATGTATAATGTAATGCAAATTAAAGATAGTACTTATCATAGTCCGATATTATAGTTAAGTTAGTTAAGATTTCTAGATATACATAGAAAATATGACATTTAAAATGGTTTATGGATTTTCTTGACAGTGAGACATAACTGCTGCTGGCAAGACCACCTTCATCAGAAAGGAAGATGGACATCAAAGAAACTCCTTATAAAGTTGGCGCCCACGTTGCTAGTAAGAACTTCCACTTAAAATTTAACAAAAGCTTAAAAAAGGGTTTTAGAAACAAAAGAACAGAGACAAGCAAGGTTTCTTGGTAGCAACATTTTTCTCGGTTGGACTCTGCTTTGTGAGAGACAAGCAGGTATTTGCTCGGCTCCTTTAAGGGAAGATTCTTGCCTCGGCATATGCGGCAAAAAACCACAGGGCTTTTAAAAGGCACTGCTAGCAATTTATTGGTGTGTATGAGAGATGGCAATGGCAGTGATCAAGTCTCCAAGCTGGCCGCATGCTGCTGGAAGGCAGCACAGACCAAGGCGGTGGGCACAGCTTTCAGTGCTGGTGGTAAAATAGCCACCGCCATCTTTTATATACCGTGGCAGAAAAAATAAAGACTTTCATTTTAGCAATGTTGTAGTTTACCAGATAAAAGACTCATGGCCAGAAAAAGATAAAGATTTACAGTAAAAACAGATTCATATTAAGAAAAACCTCTAAATGTTTACAGTGTGTTTTAAAATATACGCAGACATGGAAAAAAAATAAAATGGTTTTAAATAGACAGAGAGGAGCATATGCCTTTAATCCCAGCACTCGGGAGACAGAGGCAAGCAGATCTCTGTGATTTCAAAGTAAACCTGGTATGTAGAGTGAATTCCAGGACAGATAAGAGTTACACAGAGAAACCCTGTCTCAAAAAGTAAAAAATAAAAAGTAAAAGAAACGGAGTAATAATAAAGCCACTTAAAGATGGAAAGCTCAGAGAGACTCTGGATACTGTATGGTATTATATTGTCTTTGTATTGTTTGACTGCTCAGGAAACAACTACTGTTGAATGAAATGCTGCTGAATTAATTCAATTTATATATTTTAAAAATGCTTTGACTTCAAAATTTAAGTCTAAGGACAAGTTACTGGGGAAAAGGATTTCTATTTTTGTTTCCACAGAAAATAAAAAGCTGTGGATTCCTTGCAGACTAATGTGGTTTGATCAAGCCAGACCCCCTGAAACAGAGTTTCTGGTGATCCAACATTCAAAACAGCTTGAACAAGGCAGCCTTGCAGACTACAGACAGGATATCTGCTTCTTCTTAGGATCCCCCATGACAGCGCCCACTATCAGCAGGAATTAGTTTGGAAAGAATGACGCCCAAATTCCCAAATATTGTTTATAAATGTTTGTTTTCATTTAAATGGACTTGGTTATAAATGGTTAATGATCACAACCAATATCTTTTTAAAGGTAAAAAGGGAATTATGCTATAGGTATGAATATTTTGTTTTGGAATGGATTTTCATTTATTGATACAATTTAATGTCGATTTGGTGATATGTATATTTCTCCTCTTGTTTAGGTATTGTGTTTATTGAGCTCAGTTAGAAATGTAATGTATAATGTAGTACAGATTATAGATAGTTACCTATGATAGTCAGAACTTATAGTTAAGTTAGTTAGGATTTCTAGATATACAGACATGTATTTGAGATGGATAGGCATTCTTCAAACCTTTCAAAGACCTACAGAATATGGCATTTAAAATGGTTTAGGGTTTTCATGACAGTGAGACATAATTGCTCTTGGCAACACCACCTGCATCAGAAAGGAAGATGTTCATTGAAGAAACGAGTTATGAAGTTTACTTCCAATATGGCAAGACTAGCCATTTGGACAAGATACTGCTCTTGTCTGGACTGTTTGACTTTGTGCTATATAAACTGGACATGCAGGACCCACAGAAAATTGACTGCTGATTCAAGATG